GTTCAGCTCCCAGGATTTCTGACTCTTGGCCAAACTGGCTGGGGATTCTGGGAGTCGAAGTCCAAGACAACCTGGGGAACCAGGGGTTAATTCTTTTTATTTTTACTGAGGTTTTAAATGTCTTGCCTGTGAGCAGCCTTGGGTCACTCTGGGAGGAAAGACGGCCTATGAAATAAATATAAATAAATAAATAAACCATTACTTAAATTGGTGTCAAACTGCATTATTTCTGCAGTGTAGATAGATTGTTGTTGGGTGCCTTCAAGTATGGTTTTTAGTGGGTTTTTCAGGCTATGTGGCCATATTCTAGATTAGATTTTATTCCTGACGTTTTGCCAGCATCTGTGTCTGGCATCCACAGATGCAGGCGAAATGTCAGTAATAAATTATTCTAGAACACGGCCACATAGCCCAAAAAACCCACTAAAAACCAAGGATCCCAGCCGTAAAAGTCTTCAAATTGTTTCCAACTTAAGGCAACCCTAAGGCTACCATGGGGTTTTCTAGGCAAGCTTTGTTCAGAGGAGGTGTGCCTTTGCCTTCTTCCCCTGAGGCTGAGAGAGTGTGACTTGCCCAAGGTCACCCAGTGGGTTTCATGGCCGAGCTGGAAATTGAACCCTGGTCTATAGAGTCATAGTCCAACACTCAAACCACTATGCCACGCTGGCTCCCGGTTTGCCTGACGGTGGCCACAAGTCAGAGTCAACTTGAAGGCACAGAAGAACAGCACCAGCACCAGAAATGGTGTCAAACGGCATTATTTATACAGCCTCGATGCACCCTTAGACTACAAAGCAAGTTGCCCAGAAAAGATTCTTTTTCTAAAATCTGAGAAAGAGGCTTGATTTGTTATTATCTTACTGATTCCCAGGTGGGATCTGGGCCCATGCCAATGGATATCCAAAGGGAGTTCATCAGAGGGAAGCACTAGATGGAGATTTTAGTTGTTAAGTACTGTCAAGTGAGAGCCGGCGTGGCATTAGGCTAGGATCCAAAACACTGCAGAAATAATCCAGTTTGAGACTGCTTTAAGTGCCTTGGCTCAATGCTAGGGAATTCTGGGAACTGTAGTTTTGTGAGACACTTAGCCTTCTCTATCAGGGACCTCAGGTGCCACAATTAACTGCAGTTCCCAGGATTCCCTAGCACTGAGCCAGGGCAGTTAAAGCGCTATTTCTGCATTGGGTTTTGGACCAAGGACTCTGAAGAGAAAGAGTTTGAATCCCCACACAGCCATGAAAACCCACAGGGTGACTTTGAACAAGTCACACTCTCTCAGCTTCAGAGGGTGGCAGTGGCAAACCCTCTCTGAGGTTTGCCTTAGGGTCACCATAATTTGGAAATGGCTTGAAGGCACACAATAACAACAGTGGTCAACTTGACTTGGATTCCTGGTGACCCCATGACTGAGAGGCCTCCAGGTCACTCTGTTATCACGATCCCTGCTCAGGTCACATTAGAGGCAGGGGATTTGGGGCCGAGGGGCAGCAAAGCTGTCACTTCCTCTCCACCTTCTGTTCCTTGCAGTTGGCCGAAATCCAAGGGACCGTTTGTGCCTACAGCCATCTTGCAGGCTGAATTTGAAATTGATCTGAAGTACTTGTTAGCCGTAATGCTCCTTAACCCCCTTCTCCTTCCCCTTTTCTTTTGAAATTGGTATTGGGGAGGAAACAGACAGAGGCTGCCTCCATACTGCAGATCCCATTCCTGATCTATGGGGCATCAGTGGCTTAGCAAGAGTGAGCAATTTGCAGACTTAACAGAATCTATTTTTTTAAAAAATCTTACCCTCAATTTATATAGCCCTACCAGCGTGCAGGGTGCTTTACAAAGTATAAGAGGATACGTCCCTGTCCAGAGAAACTTACAAATGTAAAATCCTAAGGGGAACCTATCACCAGGTTTTCTGGGGTTGAGAGTGTGTGACTTTCTCCAGGTCACCCAGTGGGTTTTCATGGCCAAACAGGGAGTTAAACCCTGATCTCCAGAGTGGTAGTCCAACACTGAAACCACTATACCATGCTGCCTCTCAATAATAAATTATGCAGAGACCCCTTAATAAAATCCACAACCTCCACTTCCTGACTCCTCCTAAGTGAAGCCATCCCCTCCCTTGCTCGCTGCTGACAACGGTGGTCTAAAAGAGTGGCTTGCAAAAGCTGGCACAAAAGTGGAAGTGTCCAAAAGTCCTCTGCCTCATAATTTGAGTTTCAGGTTTCTCCATGCATAGGAAAAAAAGGGATTCTAATCCATATTACTGACAGTGAATGTAACACCAGGGACTAGAAGCTCTCCTTAATTAAACACAGAAAGCAACAACAGACGACTATCTGTTGCAAGGAGGGTAGATGATAGGAATGGTTTTTCTGTGTTCATGTGTGTGTGTGTATGTTCCTTATGGCTGCCTGTAACATTAGTGAGCTGAGCATACCTTTCCCATCATCGCTGTTAGCCCAGATTGCGCTGGGCTCCTTGGCCCCAGACCCTGAGCCCCGTAAAGGAGGGATCAGCAAAGAACTCAGTGTGATGGAGGACACCTTGCACGTGTGAGTATTGTCTGTGTATCTCCTTAAATATAGAAAAACATCTCTGTGACAGTGAGCTATGAACAGTCCTAGGAGAGAAAAGATGGATCTCAGCTAGGGTTACCAGAATTCTCTTCCACAAAACCAGGACAAAAGTATATGGGACTGGATTGGGAGGCTTATTGACAGCCCCCCCAAAAACCAAACACATGCACCATATTTTGACATTTAACATTATTTCATTTGTTGTTGTTGTTAGTTTCACTCCTGCCTTGAGAAATTGGGATCTGCTGCTTCAACCAGTGCAGCTGGCCAGAACATTTTCCAGACCCTTCAATCTGGAATTTATTTATTTATTTATTTATTTATTTGTCTTCCAGGACAAATTGCAAGCCTAATTTCAGCCCCCAACGCATAGTTTATTGTATATACTCAAGTATAAGTCTAGAAATTTTAGTAAAAAAATTGACCCCAAAAAACTGAGTCAACTTAGCCACAGGTCAATTTAAATACTGAACTTTAACTCTTATAAGAAAATAAACCATCCCCTGGTGAAAGGCAAGAGTTTAATCTGTCCTGGATACACTCTACTATCTCATCCATTCAGCCAGTGTGAGCTTGAACAGTTATGCCAGTTATGTCTTGACATGACGTTGGCTTATTGTTGAGTATACAAGGCAAATCGTTATTGTGCCATGAAGCTCAATGGAGTGATATTGGCCCAACTAGCCTCACAGGGTTGTTGTGAACATAAGAGGAACCCCTTGGGTGAAGGAGAGATACAAATAAGGTAAAATGATATAGGATGCTTAAGGACCAGCACAGAGCAATAAAGGTTGAGTCTTCCTTATCAGAAATGCTTGGGACCAGAATTGTTTTGGATTTTGGAATACCTTTATACATACTGTATATACCCGTGTATACATACAGTATATACTCATGTATAAGTCTAGAAATTTTAGCAAAAAATTGTCCCAAAAACCTGGGTCAGCTTATCCATGGGTCAATGTAAGCACTGTATTTATTTTAAAAAGCAACTATCCCCTTCTCTGAGTAGAGTGGCGAAAGGCAAGAGCATAGTCCATTCTGGAACCACCCAAAAGAAGCACCTGAGCATAAACAGCTATGCCTGCCAGAATTTTGTAAGTTATTTGGCATCATTTCCCTTTGCTTTGTCCTTTACATCCTTTGTTACATGCCCCCAAGTTTTACCTGTCACTTATCAGCCGGGCATATCAAAAACCATAATTTTGGCTTCAAAATCTGCTCTTGACTTATACATGAAGTCAAGTTATAATTGAATATATATGGTACATAACAAACTTGGAGATGGGATCCAAGTCTAAACACAATATTCCTGTTTCATATACACCTTATACACATAGCCTAAAGGTAATTTTATGCAATATTTTTAATAATTTTATGCATGAAACAAGTTTGTGTCCATTGAGCCATGAGAAAGCAAAGGTGTCACTATCTCAGTCACCCATGAAAAAAGATTTGGATTTTAGATTATTTTGGATTCTGGAATTCTGGATAAGGGAGACTCAACCTGTATATACTTGCTTGCTTTTTTTTTCTTTTCTTTTCTGTCTTACATTTTCAGGCAACTTCACAAAACAGATGTATGAACTATTCAAAAATACACATATGAAAGAACTTAGCTTTTTAAAAAAAGCTAAAATAGCTATAGGATAAAGCTAAAGTGGAACCATTAGCAATGCTAAAATCTGAAGAGCACAAATGCATTTGTTTTGAAATAAACAAAAAGGCTGGGGGGGGGTTGGCGGTGGCAGTTGCAGCTTTTACCTGGTTTTGAAAAGATATCAGATATATTGATACCAAGAATTCTGCAACCACTGAAAAGTTCCTCTCTGCTACATAGCCCTTCACCTTGTTTCATTTGGTTTCCCCCCAACCCCTGGAATTGTTGCACAGTTTCCATTCCTTTATGTGGGGATTGCAGAGGGGAACTATTTGGTGGATTAGGCCAAGTTGCTTATTATTGAGAGACAGAAGATACATCTCCCACCTAAACTAATGCAGCATTTTCTTCTCTGGTCTTCTGTTTTCTCACCTTGGTCCCTGCATGCATTTACACTCTTCCACTGCCAAGATAATTTGGCTGTCTCATTGCTTTAGTCAGGTAAGACCCTTCCTTAAATCTTTATGCTGACCTGTCCAGCCCTAGTTCTTGGTGATATCTTCAAAGTCTTTATGGCCCACACCCTTTGCTTTTATATCCTGATAAATCCTGGGCCCTGCCTGTGCTTGACATTCCCACTGGCCTCAGACCTCTCAAGGTCTCCTGTTACTTCTCACCCAGGACCCCTGTGCGATATCACTGCTCAAAACTCACCTTTTTCATGCAGCCTTTGCCACAAGCACATCTAGTTCCCCTGTCCAAATACAGCTCACTTTGTCAGCCAGCTTTGGGTGTTTCAGCTTGCAGCTCAGTTCCACTCCACCCAGCATGACCAGAGGTAAGGCGTTGTGGGAGTTGTAGTCTGAAACATCTGGATGCCCAGGGGTTTTCATCCCCAACTCTAAGCCTAAATATGTTTGCCCTTGTTTACCTCCACATACCTACTTTTTCTTTTTTTAATTTGGCCTGGGTCAGATTTTACATTTATCTCTGGGCAGGGATGTATTGTCTTATACTTCGTAAAGCACCATGCACACTGGTGGGGCTATATATTGGGGGTGAGAATTATTTATTTTTAAATAGACTCTAATAAGTCTGGAAACTGCTTACTCTTGCTAAACCACTGGCATCCCATGGATCAGGAATGGGAACCACTCAACCTCCATGGAGAGAATTATGTTAGCTCTTAGTCCAAGCACGTAGCAAAGAAAACTGCATCTATTGGCCTCTCCTCTCTTTTATCACATCTGGACTCGGATATTACTCCTAAGTCTGTCAAATTAAGGCTATTGGAGATAGCTTTCTGTGAATTGTGTTCGCATTCTTATGCCTCTTGTTCCCCCAATGCACATACATTATGATGGCCCTTTCTACATTGCCAACTATTTGGTGAGCCTGTCTCTAGCCAAATATCACTGTTGTTTTTTTTTTT